GAGAGAGAGAGAGAGATACTTAAGAATGTTGCGATAGATTGTTTTAAAAAAGAAATGCTGCGATAGATAAGCTTTCCTTTAATAAAAGAAAAGGAAAGACATTGCCATGTATAATTCTCAATAGCTATCCTCCATCAATGATTGCTAGGGGATTCAAGGATATATAGATGAGAGAGACCTTATATTTCCAAGTATATATATTATTCCATCACCCATAAGGCAAACCCCATGAGTGGCTCAATTTGGGTGACCAACACTCAAGCGATAGAAGTCCTTCGAGAGTTGGATAGGACCCAATGAACTAGCCTCAAGGAGGTTAAGCCTATTGACTACGACCTCATTCCTCAATTAGAACTGCAACTCAACTTTTTTTTTATCTCCTTCCATCTTCTTCCTTCTCTCTCCTTGCCCTCTCTTCTTGCCTTTCTTTGAAACTAGTCACAAGTCACGATTTACAAGGTGTCTAAAATTGTAAATTATAAAATATATAGGAATTCAAGGCCTTTAGAAAGTATGATGGTGATAAAAAATTGGAGATCCATGCTCCACTATGTATGAACCTGAAATTTCCTAGTGAAACTTACTCCCAAAGTAGAAGATATTCAATTTTAAGTTAGAAATCGCGGTTCCAGTTACTCATGGAACCATGATTTTGGACATAGGGATCTGGATCCCATTAACCTGGGATGTAGCTCCTCGATTTCCCGGATCGAGATCCCAAATCAAGGAAATGCTCAGAATCAAGATCCGTGTCTCGGAGTGTGGGATTGAGCTTCTGGGAGTGACCCTCTCCTTAGAGAATCCCAATAACTATGGGCTAGATTTTCCCTGTACTATGTTAGAGACGACTAGCATATGTATATTCATCAAACGTCATCCTGTTTCTTTTTACCAAAGTTGGATGTTGTGTCCAGAAGTGAAGCAGAAAGCTATGTATTTACCAAAATGGCAAGAGTACGAAAACTGTACCGTAGGATGAGTGAGTTGATGTGGCTCTAGGCACTTTGGGATCAAAGATGTCATCTTTTACCTGTCAACGGAAATATTGTATGTACTATTAGTTTATGCCTTGATTCTAATGTTTGGTGACTTGGCAAAGTAAACTGAGGTGGAATGTCAATTTATTGAAGATGGGCTACATAAATCAATTGTACTTGATATGAATTCTTTAGAGCAAATTGAAACTTTAACAATTAAACACAAACAAAACTACTTCATGAACAATCTATCTCATATTTTAATAATAATAAAAAAATCTATCTCTTATTATTATTGATGCTTCAGTTGAAGGTTGTGTGAAGAAGATATGCACTTCTCTAATTATTTATTTATTGGAAGATGTGTGTGTCAGTATATCTACTTATAAGCTGCGATGATTTTGTCATTTACAACCCTAAGGATATGCCTTTCATGTTGACGGTATGCAATCCTGTATTGACTTTGCATAATGAATGATGTTAATTTCAATTCTATCACAAGTTGCTGGCCTTGTTTGTTGCTGTTAAAAGCTCTCCTTACTCATTTCGCTCAGTAAAAGTTATCCTAATCGCCATACTCAAATATGGAAAACATGAGGTGGAATTGTAAACTGAAAGGTTTTATATGTATACAGGAAATTAGTCTTACCTGACCCATATTCTCAGGTTATTGAGTCTGATGTTAAAGCAAGCGACTTGTGTAGTCGTCGGGAGTATGCTCGTTGGCTTGTCGCAGCAAGCAGTGCTCTCTCAAGGTTTTCCTTGCTTTCCTTTGGTTTTCTTGTTGGCTTCATTATGTTTGAATCCAGAAGACTGCTACTAGCTGATGAATATTAGATAGCTAAATGCTGATGATGATTACCTTCTCTAATTAGGAGCTCAATTTCAAAAGTCTATCCAGCAATGTATATTGAGAACGTTACTGATCTTGCGTTTGATGATATCACTCCTGAAGACCCTGATTTTCCATACATCCAAGGTTAGTTAACAAGGCCTTACTAAACCATGGCCTATGTAGTTTCGTTGATACCAATGCTTATTGGAAAATTCATTCAATGCGCAATTAAATTTTGAGGCATAACTCCCTCAAATTGCAGGCCTAGCTGAAGCTGGACTTATTTCAAGCAAGCTTACGAGTTCCGACCTGCTTAATACTCCAAAAAGGGAGCCAGGTGGTTTCATCTTTTCCCCTGACAGGTATTGCTTGGGTTGCTGCTTGAGAATTTGTCTCCAACTCTTTCCAAATATCTTTCTTGTATGTAGGAATTACCTATCTAGAACTATGGAACAGGGCAAAACTCATTTTTCATTTGTCCTTCTGGATATTTGTGTTGTAGCCCATTGTCACGCCAAGATCTTGTGAGCTGGAAGATGGCATTAGAGAAAAAACAGCTTCCAGAAGTCAACAGAAAGGTTCCTATTTTAAAATTTTGCAAGTGACTATTTAAAGATAGATCTATGACGTTTGTTTATAGTTTTCTTCTTTGAGAGATTATAGGACAATGCTCGAAGTGCCTACATATAACATGCAGGTTGCCCAGAAAGCTGTGATAATAAACGGCCAGCTGGAATAGTTAAAAGTTTTATTTTTAGAACTTCTCCCTCTTGAGCCCAGTACTTATAAGAGGCCATGTTTCTCAAAAAATGTTTGATCCTTTAATTCACGAACTAGGAGGCAGAAGGGTAAGAAAACTTTACCTGTCCAAGGGCCTTGCATGACTTTGGGCATCTGAATGTCATAAGCAGGTGTTCCAAGCATTTTTGTATAATTTTCTCTTTTCTTTTTGGCATTTAACTGAAGACTCAGACGCTAGACTTTTGACTTTTAATGTGAGAATTTTACTCAACGCTAACTCTTGATATTTGCTTGTCTTAAGGTTCTTTACCAACGCACTGGATATATGGATGTTGATAAGATAAATCCGGATGCCTGGCCTGCCCTTGTAGCTGACATTTCTGCTGGAGATCAAAGCATTACAGCACTTGCTTTTGGTGAGATTTTTTTGGGTTTGTAAAATATACCATAGTCCAATGGAGTCTGATAAGGGGCATCTGCTATTCATTCCTGATGATGAATGGCAGAGACTAACTGTACTTGAGTGAATGTCTCAGTGAGCACAATGTAAATTAGGCTCAACTATCAATTTTTCAGGAAGAGACAACGGTTGCCCCTTTGAAGGACCACATTATTTAGTTCAACACATATGGCATGCTTTATCTCTTTTTCTTCTTTTAGTTGTGTTGATAAATATGTTCTGCATTAATGGCAATTGATCCAGCTTCTGGTTACATCTAGGCTATACACGACTATTTCAGCCTCAGAAGCCTGTCACTAAAGCACAAGCTGCCATTGCACTAGCCACTGGTGACGCAACGGAATTTGTTACTGAGGAGCTCACTCGTATTGAAGCAGAGTCATTAGCTGAGACAGCTGTGGCAGCTCATACTGCTCTAGTGGCTCAAGTTGAGGAGGATCTTAATGCAACCTTTGAAATGGAGCTTGCCTTGGAAAGGGAGAAGATAGATGCAGTCGAGAAATTAGCTGAAGAGGTCAGAGTTGAACTGGAAAATATCAAAGCTGAGAGAGACAAAGAAAATAGTCAGCTGATGATGGAAAGGGATTTAATTGAATCTGAAATTGTTGCTATTTCCAAATTAAGGCATGATGTGGAAGAACAGTTACAAAACCTTATAAGTGACAAGATGGAGATCTTGTTTGAGAAGGACAAGCTGAATGGACTTAGGAAAGCAACAGAGAGTGAAAACCAGGCCCTTGTTCAGTTACAGTATGAGTTGGAAGTTGAGAGGAAGGCATTATCCATGGCGAGGTAAATTATTTTATGGTTTTGCATGGACATTTTCTCTATAAATCATTAGCTGTTTCTTGATGGTCTACAGTTACTTTATTATACTCTACAAACTTATTTCCATGTTATATCTCTTGTAATATTTAGTGGGCTCTTAGTATTATCCTTAGTATGATCTGTCCAATACACTGTTCATGTGTTTTGGTTTTTAGGTGCATTAACAATTTTCCTTGTGTGATAATTAGGGATGTTTATCGTCATATTTCAACACAAAATCAGAAGTGCTGCATGTCAGTTCGATTCCTGCTGCTGAATTACCCAAAAAGCATATTTCGATACAATCAATTGTGAACATATACTATGTTGTGCCGACGAGCTTTACTTTTCACAGTAGTCCACTCCCTCACCAAATCCATACACCAAAGAACTCTCTACTAAGGGCCCATATCTCGGTCTCCTGTCACTTTCCTTTTGATCCTCAATCACTTGGGTGACATGGTATGTGTACACCTAGAAGTGTCTTAAGACCACCAATACTCTAATATGAGGCCCTATTCAGAAGCAGATCTAGAGAACAATGACACTCTAAATGAATAATAGTGATCTAAGACCTAGAAAAATTGATAAGAGTAGCCACATTCTTCATGTGAAACTAGTGCAAGCATTCATGTGAGTGATATGAGTGCATGTGAGATCTTATCATTGGGGTTTGCCTGCTAGACCATACATGCTGAATAATGTAGCTCGTGTAGCTTGTGCGAAAGTTGTTGCACTGCTAAACCATACATGCTCATTATCCAAGAAAAAGTTTATACTAGTATTGAAAAAAAAGGCCATACATACCCAAATGGTGTATGTATTATAGGACTACATATATCGGTCAGCCAAGTGAGATGCCCCCCATATAGGAGTCAGGGCTTTGATGTGTAGACTATGAGGAGAAGCTAGTTGAAGCTCCTCCTTTGCCAAGGAGAAGGCCCAACTAGTTTGAGTCAATTTAGGAGGTGTGTGTCAAGGTTAGTCTGAACGACAGGTCATAGCTGCGAGGGTATTAGGGGGCGGTTCTGTTATGGCACTCAGGTTTTTTGTCACTTCTTTTGTTTTCCTTCATTTTTTTAGATTGTCGGATTAACAATCTTTTTGTGACACTTAGCATTGTTTAGGTTGAGTGGTGTCCTTAGTTACTAAGAGATGGATTGAGGCAGAGGGTGAATTTGGGGAAGAGGTCTCTAAGAATTTGGGGTGGCTAAGGCCATTCTAGGGGCTGTTATGAGGAGATGACGATTCTTGGAGGTTGCCATAGCAAGGTGATATTGGTCAGCAATATGTTAGTTCATCTCATGGTTACTGGAATCTCCTAACTTGGTGGCAACCCCAGTGATCCCACGCTCCCAGAGCTGGACCTTAGATGGATCGTGCTCCCATATCAGGGGAGCACAATCCCAAGCCCTTAAGGATTGGGTCAATATAAATCACACTCATGTTAGATTGATCTTTAAGAAGGAAACAAGTCTTAAATGCATATCCATTACAAAGAAAAAGTAATTACATTGCAAAATCATGTTATGTATATTTCTCAAAACGAAAAGAGATTCTTCAACTAGACAGTTCTCGGACCTTTGGAACTTCTCATGCGATCCCAAAAAGTTGGGATCCAGCTCCCCAACATGTTGGGATCGAGATCCCTAAAATTTGGGGTCTACAAACAGTGATCGTGACATAGGGATCTTCTAGCTATCACAATCTCATGCTTCCTGATCCGGCTCCTGCACCTGATCTCACTCTTGATCCCAACAACTGCGGTTCGTCTCCTTTTTGGGCAGTTCAGTGCTAGGATTTGAACTTGGGATGTATTCTTGCAATGATCTAAAACCTTAACCAACCCAACCCATATGACAACTGTGAAGTTAGTGAGAAAACAAGCAAAGCTGACCCTCGCCAGAAAAGAAAGGAAATGTTAACAAGCTGAAACTGAAACTTGTGTCAACCTAATCTTGTGCTATTGCCTCCCTCTCTCTCTCTCTCTCTCTCTCTGTGACACAGACACACACACTTATCCGTCTCTATGTTTCACACGCTCACACACACACTTATCCTAGTGTTGAACACCAAGCACTACATACCCTTGCACTATGGACTGTGCAGTGCTTCTGTTACTGCACACTATGCATGCGCGTATCAGAGTCTATGGGCAACCATGCTACACGCACTCTGCACCGCACATTGCGCACCTGTGCGACACAAACTGTGCATTGCACACTTAACATAAATTCTTTTTGTTCTCTACCCCCATTTTTAGGGCATGGGCCGAGGATGAGGCGAAAAGGGCACGAGAACATGCAAAGGCGCTGGAGGATGCAAGAGAGCGATGGGAAAGGCGAGGCATTAAAGTAATTGTGGATGAGGAGCTAAGCATGGATGCCCTTGATGAACTTACTTGGACAAGTTCTGAGAAATTTGGGGGAGAGATTTCAGTAAGTCAAACGGTAGGCAGAGCGGAGTCCCTAAGGGAGAAGCTCAAGGCTATGGCAAATGAGGTAAGTGGAAAATCACAAGAAATAATTGAAAAAATAATAAGAAAAATAGAGTTCATCATCACTTCTCTAAAGAGATACACAAATGCGGGTGTACAAAAGAGCAGAGAGTTCTATGGTGCCACTGTTTCAATGGTGGGCAAAACTGCTCAAGACTTATGCCAGAGTTCGCAGAATGTGGGGGCGAAAGTTGGGGGGTTTTTGAATAGTGGTAAAGAAAATGTTGGCAGTTTCTTGCGAGATGGGACAAAGAAGATCACTGAGGAATGCCGAGAAGGGATGGAGAAGTTCTCACAGAAGTTTAAGACATGAAGTCTCTCTCTCTCACACACACACACTTATTTCCCCTCGTCTATGTACTTGTGAATGGGTCTCTCTGAACATTTTTGTCCATGTACTGTTGTAATCCATTTGTGATTGTGGTATTCGCTTGAGGGAGATGCTTTAGGCTGAGAGAAGCTTGAGGCTAGCAGCCATGTTTCATGCATAAGCAATCGAGCATTAGTGACCCAGTGAGGACTGCAATAAGATTAATGAGGAGTATGATGATCTAAATGTCGAGTTGTGCTCCGATGTAACATATGATAGACAATGCATGGGAAACATGTTATGAATGGACATCTTGGTAGCTTTGTCCCGGCCTCATGTCATTAGGAGCGTCTCTGAAAATAGCTGTTCATTATTCTTTTTAAATGTTTATGACAATATTCTTGTTTTTCGCCTATGACAGCAAAAAAGAAGCCCTTTTTTGTTTAGTGCTATCAAGGGAACCACCCTATTAGTGGTATTCTATTGATAAGCGGGGTTTGATTCCTTAACATTTGGAGTGGTGAGTTGTGCCGAGCAATCAGTCCACTTACTGCTTTTCAAGAGTACCGAGTTTATGGATAAAGAAAGGGAAAAGGATGAGAGTCTTTTCTATAAGAAATTTCACATCATTGGCAATGCAGGGCATCGGTGGTTGGGGGGCGAATGCTAATACAATATCCCACCTTCATTCCCAATGTGGATATATCAACGCAACGATCCTTTATTGGCATCACAGAGGGGAATGTACTGAGAACTTTATAGCACCCATTGAATGCTTTCCAGAAATCTAGACATTGAGTCTCTCCAAGCCGCCTATAACTCAGCTGGCCTCCAAGGCAAATGCAGTAGAGTGTGTGTTCGATAACCAAGATGACCGGCCTAATTGTTTGGCAGTTCAATATTTGAAATATCAGATGCTTGAAACTCTCATCAATCCCCGTTTTCTTCCAAGGAAAAGGTGGTTTATATAGAGCAGAGGCTCTAAACAATCAAATTAGATCTCACTTCAAAAATTTTGCTAGAAGATGTTATTTTGATGGCCAAATATCTTCAAATTGATCATCAAGATGCATGGACATGGAAAAAAAATGGATGTCAAGTTTTGAAAATAATGCATCCTGTAACCCATTTTTTAACCGTCAATTTTCAAGATTTTCAAGTTTTTATAGATCTATTCGATCTATACAAACCACACCCTTCTTCTAATGGCTCTATGCCTCCCATATAATTTCCCTTTTTACTATATGATTAAACATAGCATTTTAGTTTTATTCTTCATAATACCATTTTTTTTCTACGAGTGGTTATAAAGATGGTGCATTTTTTCCCTAAAAATTACTCGAACTGTTAGTTCATTAATGAGTTAAAGAATTTAAAAGTAGCCACCCATACTACACCTTCAAGTAATTGCAATTAAATTTCGAAAACAATTTTCTTTGCACGTATTATTAAGACGAAACTTTTCTAATGTTTGATATATGAAAGTTTGCATTAAAAAAAGATATCCAAGTATAATTATGGAATTTTTAAGGAAAAATACATATGAGATGTTTCTTTTAATACGTTGCCTATCTAAATTATTAAATTATAGATTTGAATATCCCTGCATCAACCTGGAAAGAAGTAACTAATCACTGTGACATGATGCTTGGCTGTTTCCAACTAGGTGACCTATCCAAAGCAAAAACCCTATTAAATAGGAAATATATTTAAAGATACAATTTATTTTTAATACGTCACAATGATTAGTGTCCATCATATTTTAAATCGAATGGTTGTGAATGTATCATTGGCTTAACTCAAAAGTTCAAAAAAAAAAAAAAAAAATCTCTAACTTTGTGACAGACTCCAAGCCGTCCAATTTGACATCTAATTGCAATATGTGACGTGGTTACAAAATGGGAACATAAAAAAAAAAAAAGGATACATGTGTAATATATAAATATTAAGGTTGACACTAAGGTGCACCTCAAAAATCCATCACTAAAGGCTGTTATGATATTAGAAAGCCATCTAATTGATCATTTTGACGTCGAGATACATGGATAAGGGGAAAAAAAAAGAAATTCAGATCTCAATAATCGTACATCTTGCAATACATTATCTAGACTGTCTATTTCATATTTTGATGCGTTTATAATTTTGCTTGATTTGAACTATTTTTAGAGTTTAAAAATTTATAATTAAAAATAAAAATAGATTCTCAAGCCAACCTACAAATTTTAGATGCCAAAATTGCATCTTATGACAAATTTGGAGAAACGCCTTACATTGATTGCTGTAAAACCACAACCTTTCTTAATTAAGGTATTTATAAGTGGGATTTGTCTTTTCTCCAAAAAAAAAAAAAAAAAATGGGATTTGTCTATAAAGAAATAATTCTTTGGATGCGCTTTGTATAGAGCCTAAGCTCTAAACAATCAAACTACAACCTACCTTCAAATAGTGTCGAGAAATGTGGTTTCAATATTGGAAATCTTTTTGATAGCCTTAAAACATATTGTCATTTTTATTTATAAATTAAATTTCAAAAGTAGTGTAGATCAACAAATCTATAAAAACTTGAAAATTTTGAAATCTGACGGTTCAAAAATGTGTTACAAAATACACTATTTCCAAAACTTGAAATCCACTTTTTTTCTCATGTCTATACATCTTGATGAGATGATCAATTTGAAGATATTTGGGCATTAAAACAACCTCTTCTAGTGAAATTTATGTTGTAGGCTCCAATTTCATTGTTTAGAGCCTCGGCCCTATAACAAACTTTTCTCTTAATCTTTGTACATAGAGGTCACCATGTCAAATTGGATGGTTTACGGTGAGTCATGAAGTCCGAGAAATTTTTTTTAGAACTTTGTTTCTATTTAATGACACTTTTACAACCACCTATTTCGAAATTTAAAGGGGCAATAATGATTGTGGGGTGTGGTTTGTATCGAGCTTAGGCTCGTAAGCAATCAAATTAGAGCCTACTTTCAAATAGTATCGAGAACTATAGCTTCAATACTAGAAATCTTTGTGATAGCCTTAAAATATATTTTTATCTTTATTTATAAAATTTAAAGCTTAAAAAATGGTGTAGATCGACATATCTATAAAAACTTCAAAATCTTGAAAATTGACGGTCTAAAAATACGTTACAAAATTCACTATGTCCAAAACTTGAAATCCATTTTTTTCTCATGTCCATGCATCGTGATGTCGACATGATCAATTTGATGATAATTCGGCATAAAAAAAATAACCTCTTCTAGTAAAAATTTTTAGATAAGTTCTAATTTAATTGTTTAGAACATCAACTTTAAATACACTTTTCTAATAATTAGAACATCCATGTACAAAAGATAAATAGTCTCATTAACAATCACGTGATATATGGGTAATTCACTCTTTTGGAAACATAACTTGTTCTTGAATCTAGTAACCAACTTGACAGAATTCATACGCACTCAACTAGCACTTCAAGGAGAATTAATATTGAACAAAAATCATCTAATTTCTTGATGGTCAAATCTAAATAATGCTCAACTTCAAAAAATTTGAATATTTTATTAAAAATACTTATCTGGTAATTTTTAAATAGATCTCAGAATCTCAAATCTAAAAGATCCTAAGTAAGTATCAAGGGAGCAACTCTACATTATGCTTGCTGATAGGCTGTACTGTTACTTTGATTTATGTATGAAAATTGTCGCATGCGGCCTGGACCTCATTATGGCCTAAGTAAGTATCAAGGGAGCAACTCTACATTATGCTTGCCGATAGGCTGTACTGTTACTTTAATTTATACATGAAAATTGTCGCATGCGGCCTAGACCTCATTATGGCCCAAAAAGTTTAAAGCATCCATGGATTCAAGTTAAAGTGTTTCTTTTGTGGAAACTAACGCTTTAAATGTTTTTTTTTTTTTCTAAAATTATTATTTTTAGTTTTTTAAATTTATTTATTTTTTTTATATTCATGATCTCCACATTAAAGATTATATATCCTCAAAAATTAAGTCAAAAAATCTTATCTCAAAAATAGATTTATTAATAGACCCGCATTTTTACGTATACGGGCTTGACCACATAGAAACCGGATCCATACATTTCTATCTCTCTCTCGCTTTGACCCCTGTCAACAAGCCCGGGAAACTCAGGTGACCAGGCAAAGTAAAATCTCTTTCAACTACTGTCTAATTTACAGATGCCTGCCAAAAAAACACTCCTCTCATTCTCCCTCCAAAGCACAAATCATATGGATCTTTACCTCTCTCTCTCTCTCTCGACAAGAATCACATAAAACAGTAACAGTGATGGTACAACTCTCTCTCTCTCTCTCAAACAACCAACTTTTCCTCATCCAAATCTGGTACTGCAACATCCAACCTCATCAAACCTTCATACTCCTTCCCCACACTCGCCCCCGCTTGCGCGCACATCTCCACCACTGCTGGTAATTTCCCATAATAACCCCTCAGCTCATGAAATGGCACCCCTCCTAGCCCAGGGTCCTGCACATGCCACACATGCACAGGTGGGACAATGTCGTTGACCTCGGCCTCCTGCCACGCATGCTGCCCATCCCTTGCCTGGTGCTTGCGGGCCCCACACGTCCTCACCCGATGACCCCGAGGCCCCACCTGAACTTCGGGGCAGTACCCACACACCCACACTCTGTACTTTCGCATCAATTTCATGGCTCCATTCCTCATCTTCTCCCATGCCTTCAGACCCCTTTCCGCTATGACTGCAATCACATGTTAAACTTTCAGCCATTTGAATTTTCTTTGGGGATTCTCTAAAAAAGATCAATTATCTATTGTATATGGAGGTCACAATCTCTTGTCTTTTAAATTTCATAATGGGTGGTCGTAAAAGTGTACACAAAGTTCTAAAAAACAAATTTTCGGACTTTATAACTCACCCCAAACGAATGTTCAAAAAATGGACTCAGCCAAAGTACTCGGGCATTGGCTGAAGCAATTTACTTGGTTGGGTGAGTCCGGGTAAATCACCCAAGGCCAACTCTACTTTTTTTTTTTTAAGAATGTGGAGATCCCCCAAGTCCAGCTCGACTTTTTTTTCTCTAAAACAATGAAGATAACACAATATTTATAAATAACATAAGCCCCACTTTTATACACTAAATAGTAAAACGTCATGCCGATTAGCTCCCCGTGTGTAAATGGAACACCTTGCAAGTAGTCCCGTGTTTCCATTCCCGTGAGGTTGTATTTTTTAGAACTCAAAAAATAATGATACTTTATAAAAGTGGTCTACAGCTGCGGGATTCGAACCCTAACAGGGTTAAAAATTATTCTATGGCACTAACCGGAAAGACTTCTCGCACATTGGTCTTAAAGTTGAAGTATAATTGAACTAAAAATAGTGTTGTACAACTTACTTGTCCAAAATTCGCCTCGCCTCGCCTCGAGTCCAAGTGATCTCAGTCGAATCTCATAAAATCGCTCCAAACCATCCAATTTGACATCTAATGAGAATAGTTGCAACCTCCTTGTACAAAAGATAAATGGTCTCTTTATAGACAATCCATCACCATCCAGTCAATTTGTTAGATAGTGATGGAGGGAGCAAAGACTTGCTAATAATTATATTTCATGGGATCCACTCACCCTCCACCAATATCCAAATAATTGATGGGCCAGTGCTCACCCGTAATGTTTTAAAAAACGGATTGGTGAGGTAGATCGCCCACCCACCAGTTCTAATTAGGATTAGCTGAAATTAGCAATCCAACAGACAAAAAAGGAAGAAAAAAAAAAGAACGATTTAAAAGGTAAAGTGCAAGGAGCAGTCTGAAACAACAGGTAGCAAGTCAGGGAATAAAAATATATCGGCAAACCAAAATATTAGTAATAAATCAATTTTGTTCCAAAAAGGTGGAGGCAAAAATTTCTAATAAAAAATACATGTCGTCAAAAATTAATTAAGTTAAAAAATAATAAATATTTCAGATTTGGCTCAAAATAACAGAGTGAAAAAGTTTGATACGTTAAAAACACAATAGAAAATTATGAGTTGGGATTATTGTATAAATCATAGTTAGCAAGCCTCCGTTTAAAATACGACTTTTTAAAAACATCTTCGATTTTTTTAAATCCGTTAAGAACTCCCAATTTTTCAAAAGATCTTTAAAAATTCATTTTTTTTAATGGAACCGAAAAAAATCCAATTTTTATCTTTTTTCAAAAAAACTTCTTCCCTATAACTATATTTCTTCATTAACTTAATATTTTTAAATTTTGATTTAAATATAAGTACATTAATGGTGGGAGCAAACAAAAAATCTTAATTTAACAAAAAAATCCATCAAAAAATTTACAAATGAGTTCCCTTAAAAAAAAAGTATACAAAGAAATATAAGCACTAATCCCCAAAAAAAAAGTAATCAAAACAATAGTACATTTCAAAATAATAGGTAGAATTAGAAGAAGATAAACCCAATGAAAAATCCTTTTTTTTTTCTTTAAACACATAACGTCTTTATAAAGAGCAAGTGAGAGATTCGATGATACTAAAGATTCAAGTCGCTAAGAATTTAATGTGAAATTTGAATTCGCTTAAGCATTTTGTTGTTTTTCTATGCATGGAGAAGTTTGATTAATTTTACATTTTATTTTTTATTTTATTGATGCATTAACAATATAGCATTCTGGATGGACCACTATTATATATTTGGGTCTTTACATTTTCTTTTAATTAGCTGCAATCCTCTATTGAGGTTGTTTTTTGTTTTTTTTTCTTTGAAAAACAATCTTATACCTTGGTTCACAGTTCTTGTTATTTTCTAATTAGTTCTTGTGTTTAGTGTTCTTGTTGTTGTTTCATTTTATGCTCCCCATAAATTTACATGTTTTGTGCCATGACAACAAAGTAAGCATTATTACCGGATTTATTGAAAGTTTCAACAAGAAATTGTCATGTATTACTCTGATGACACTAGTAAGGATATTTTAAATTATTGTTCAATGGCTGCAATATATACAACAGCTGCAAATTATAATAATGTATCAGGTCATCTTTACATATCCAATTTTTCACTTCATTTTTTTTAACCAAATCCGAAATATTCATGATTCTATAACTTACCTTATTTTTTGGCAATCCGTATTTTTTATTCGTTTTTTCCTCCGGATTTTTGAAATAAAACCAATTTATTATCGATGTTTTGGTTTGCGAATATTTTATCATTCCCCGACTTGCTAGCTATGGCATGGATACATTAAAACTATTAAACTATAATTTTTATATCTTACCTAGTACCATAGAGCATTCTTGACAAAAAAATTTCTAAACTTTTAATAAATACAAAAATAATACTTAATCTGTTGTCACAACACAAAACAAATGATAGATATATTGGAAGCATACAATAAAATAACAACAACAATACCAGACACAAAAACTACATTAGAAAAATGACAAGAAAGGAACCCAAGGATTATCATTGGAAATGAAAACAAAACCTTTTAGTATAGGATTGCAGTTAAGTAAAACACAAAAACCCATAAATATAAAATAGTTGTCTATCCAGATTGTTATGTTGTATACACTAATAAAATAAAATAAAAGTAAAATTAATAAAACTTCTAGAAAAAAAGAACAAAATGCTTAAACAAACCCATATATTTGACACTCCTTAATTCTTAACCGTATAAATCTTTAATTGCCACATAATCTCTCTCTTGCTCTTTATAATGATGCTTTATGTTTAAAGGAAAAAAGATTTTTCTTTAGGTTACTCTTTTTCTACCGGTAACTATTATTTTCAGATATATGATTGTTTTGATAGATTATTTTTTTGGAGAATATATTGCACTTCTTTAAGGAAACATATTAGTGCAATTTTTTTATAGAAATTTTTTTTAAATCAAGATTTTTAATTTACTTCTATTTTTAATCTACTTATCTCTAAATCTAAGATCAAATATATTGAATCAATAAAGAGAAAATTATTGGGAAAAAGTTTTTTTTAAAAGTCTTTTTGAAGAAAGATAAAGTACACAAAAACTACATCATAAAAGTCTTTTTAAAAAGACACGATTTTTTGAAGATCTTTTTAAAGACTCCGAGTTTTTAATGGATTTTAAAAAATAAGAGATTTCCTTGTTAAAAAAATCTTGTTTTAAACGGAGACTTCCTAACTATGGTTGGAACCACCAACCAAGGTGACCATCACTGCTGCCAATTACGCTAGTTTAGCTTAGTTGCCATACTACCTAATATTAGTTACTATATATTTGCAAAACAGCACATTCCAACCATACGACCACATGCTAAACTTTCATACTATAACATAATATAATGGGACAAAATAGTATGATACCACGATCTATGTGGAGTGCCAACAGCATGGTCCACAGGGTTATCATGGGAGATGGAAAATTGTTAGTCCATTGGAGTTATCACAACTCGATGAAAAAAAAGATGAATGGCAATGGAAAGAGAGAATGGGCTGCCAAGGTGAACATGACAGAAAATTGTGGGTTTGCAATCTCTTTCTATTATCATCCGTAATTTTATTGGATGGTCCATCATGATATAGCAAAATGGCGAACCAAGATTCATGTAGCCGATCTCAATTAATTGCAAAAAAGCTCTGATGATGATGATGACAAATTTCATTGGATGGTGATGACCCCAATTGGATTATGATATACTTTTTCCTTTCAAAAAGAAAAAGATCAAAATTGTGTATGACTAAATATCCTGAGGCACGCTTTCAATTATCAACAAATAAACAGCTTTCATGCAAAACATTTTATATGAAAGAACTTTTCATGATTCTGTGGTAAGTACAAGAGTTTTACCACTTTACCTTGTGTATCATTTGAGGTTGAATACGATGAACCATTGATTTCCAAATTCTCCTTTTTCTCCCAATTCCCTCCCTTCATCCAAAAACCAGACGTCTGTATGCCATCTCCATGTGAGACATCTCGAGGAAATCTCCTCTCAAAATCGATTGTTTTACCAGCCACACTATAAGCTGGAAACTTATATCTCCTCGTTGGAAATTCCAAAACATCAACACCCGATTGCATGCACAGCTCTACAATAGCTGGAACCCGATCAACCCGCAGCCTCTCTTCATGGGTCACCGCTCTCCCTAACCTGTCATAGAGATGAAAAGACTCCACACATGGAAGAACATCATCTATGCTTCCCATTCCCCATGTGTGTTCTTTACTATTCAAGCTTCCTGAAACATCGCAACTACGAATTTTATGTGGCGTTGCACCCACATGAACTTCTCCACATACCCTGCTAAAGAAAGACAATTAGCACACAAGGATATTCCCTCACTATCCATATGGTCCAAAAAAGCGGGAAATTAATGACTTGCAATGGTTGTTCTAATGCTAATGGCCCCTGCTTACCACATCCTGTACTGGTAATGGACAAAACATGAGAATATGGGCATCATTACAATATAAAGGCCACCATATAACGGTGTAAGGAACACTACAAGAAGTTCTGAACATTATAAATAAATAAAAGGAAAGAAAAGAAAACAGGGGGTGTGATATCCATTTTAATTCCTGTTCATCCATGACATATTAATGGGGTAACTGCCATATATGTTACCAAATCAATATTTTAATTTTTATTCAACATTTAATTAAAAAAATATAGAATGCCTACTGCATCTGTTATATTCTTTCTGTATCTCTTATTTTAAAGAGCACCTGTTAAAAAAAAGAATTTTTAAATTTTTATTTTATTATTCAATATCCTTGGTTTTGTAACCATTACAACAACCATTAGCACTAGATCACAGTAAAAGGCCCAGCTTGTAATGATTCATCAAGGTTCAAAATCTGTTAAAAGTGAACTTCATTTAACAGATTTTAACCTTGGTTCTCCAAAAAGAGATACTACTAACTAGCATATTACAGCATGCGTGGTGATACCATATATTATACAGTTCTCCTAGGTGCATCCACCATACGTTCCAAAAGGGAAATTGTTCAGATTACTTGTACCTTGGGTGGGTGCACTACAATTGATCTCCAAAATACATTTACTAACAAATGATGGGTGTCCTTTAGAGTACACTTTATCATAGTTCATTGGATTTTCGGTATATACCATCGCAATAGAACAGAATTTCAGCTTTATATTAAAAAAAAAAAAAGACTATGCTGTCATATTTTTTTTACCTACAAGAGTGAACAAGGACTCTACCAATAATCATTGAAATGCACTGGAGAAGCTCGATTCTGGCCATATAAACATCATGGGCAACTGGGACTAAGCTCTTGACTAGAAGACCATTATCAGGGGCCTGCAATTTAAACTCGCAGACCTCCTGCTTCATCTTCTTCTCCAATCTAGCCTGTCGTTTAATTTCATTAATTGGAGCAATAAATGGCTTCCTTTCTGATTTTCTCAGTTTTCTTGGTAGCTCCATATATTCAGGAATTCCCTTGCTAAGACATGAGCCTGTAGAATAGAGGCCTTCTGTGTATATATGTTTGGATAGTAGACTTGCAGTAAAGTTTGATTGAATAAGATCATGGCGGGCGATGAACTTTGGTGCTCGTCTTGCCAACATAGTGGATGTAGAAACTCTGGAAGCCATTGGTCGAGATAATAGCTTAATCAGAAATTCATTCAAAGAAAAAAGATGAATTACATGAAGCAGAATCATAGATTGGAAACATCTAAGCAGTGAAGTCCGATACTCATAACAATAGAAATGAGAAAAATACCAGAGATACACAGGGACTAATTAATTATTAAGGAAAACTATACCATAATCCAAATTAATTTATCCAGAACTCCCAAGAAATATCAACCATCCACATTCTCAATGACAGATGGTAGAGATTAAGTGCACTTGGGTGTGTCCTAATGGTCCCAATACAGTTAAGGTACTTTATCCAACATAAGGAACATATTGTATATGGCCTTTCAAGCAATGTATACCATATTTATTCAATTATAGCACAGCCTCCCTTTGTTTAACACCTCTCTGCTTTCTCTACGCCAAATGCTATGCAGAAAAAAATCTGGGTAAAGAAAACCTTTGACTGCCTTTTATAAGAAATTTGACTAATTTTCAGTTTAGCATTATTTAGATTCAATAATGTGATATTTGAAATCTGCTCAATAATATGATGAATAAGTTCTCAAAGCAAGAACCAAGAGAAATCCACCCAAAATAATCGAAGCAATAAAGAACAAGCAAATGAAAACAATAATCAATAAATTTATACGAAAATAGCAGCTCATCCGCATAAAGTATACCATACGCAAATTTAGTGTGTAAAATTTTAATGGCATCATCACTAAAAGACAATAAAGATAGGGAAGAAAACATGGAAAAGAAAACGAAAATGAAATTCATTTTTCTCCAGTCTCAATCAAATTAAAAATTGAACATACAAATGGGAAACACAACACAACAAATAAGTCCTAGAAAAGCAATCTAAAATGAAGAATAGAAATGCATTTCAGTAAGACAAAACCCATAACTCACAAAACCAAAAAAAAATTTGTCTACTCTTCACTGTGCGCTAAACTGTTTTTCTTCATGGTTTGGTGAATCATGGATTTTGGCTCAAAGAATCCATGACATCAATTTCCTACCCTACACTGAAACTGCGAATATAGAGAATTGGTGCTTCTGAGAACTCTCCCTAAAAATATTCAACAAATTAAAAATGATGTTTATGAAAGAATAAACAATACCATTATAAAAATATCAAAAAATTAAGCAAAATAAAAACTCAAACCCTGAACCAGCCATGAGTGTATCTCTTGGGAAATAACATTGAAGGAGCTGATTTTGTATGACAACAATGACTAGGACTAAGACTAGAACAAACAAAAATCCCTAAACCCAACAAAGAGAACAAAGACTAGAACAAACAAAAATCCCTAAACCCAACAAACCCAAAATCTACAAAAACAGATCAGAACAAACAAAAATCCCTAAACCCAATAAACCCAAAATCTATAAATAAAAATAAAAATAAAAATAAAAAAGCTCAAATATTTGCCCCAATTTCTACATTTCTCATAACCAAGTCGTGTTATGCAAACATTCTAACACCAATTAACAAACAACAACAATGCAAACAAATGACAAGCTTTCCACATCAAAAAAAAAGAGCATCACTGAGAGGAAGTTAGAGGGAGAAAAGAAAGATACAAATATTTATGAGAGACAAAGAAAGGATTTGGAGTTGCAGTTATGAACCCTAGCAAGACAATCCAGAGACACGAGAAAGGGGAGAGATGATCAATCCATACACGAGCTTCAAAAGCTCCAGCAATGGCAACTCATAAACCTAAACAATTTTTGTATTTCTTGAACTCCCAAAATCCGTATAATGCGCAGCTCTCACTCTCTGAGCCTGTTTGATAACTGAAAGCAAGTTCATGAACTGTAAATTGGAAGTTCCTCCTTGCTGGGAAGATAGAAGTTACTGTAAGAAGTTCCTGGTTTCTGTGTTTGATAACCTCCTAGGAAGTTAAAGAAGTTCCTAGTTTCTGCGTTTGATAACCTCCTAGAATGTTAAGTAAGTTCTAAGTACCTGGATTGCCAACCAGAATACCCCGAAGTAAGTCATGATTTTAAAGTATCGAACAATGGGCATTTCCTAACCTATAGTCTTTCATGAAGTAACACAAGAATATATACAATTTACAAGGGATTTGAGCTCATTGTTTGGTGGTCAGAGCATTGAGGGCTGCAACAAAATGTCCTATGTTTAAATTTCATTACTGACCTAACAAAATAGTCTTAATATCATACAATCTACTAAAGAAAATATAAATTAATATTATGTGATTTTCCTTAGAGCAAGATGTGAATTCTTAGTTTGACAGAATTCAGGTTTACAAACTCAGGAAACAGTCAAGCACTATTGTTATTCCATCACCAGAATCTTGCAATGCTCTTCCACAAATATAATTTTCTATTTTAAATGCCCAAAAAAAGTAATCAAGGATAAGTATTGGTCCATTAACATATAAATAATCATGATCAAGTCTAAAGATACTTTGGTCAAAATTATCAAAATGCCAACGATATATGTAACCAATTTCTCTTCATACAAAGGGACAGTAACCAATTTCTTTTGGGCACTTTGATCCAACGATCTTGCATTATATTCTTCTACTCAGTAAAGCTACTGCGAGGGTAACAGGTTCAGATACAAATATAACCAACAGCACAGAGTTCAAGCTTTGAAATCTAGGCATTTTTTAACAAAAGGCTTCTGTAGAAATATATAAAGAATGCAAAGGTCTACATAACTAAGTGCCTCTCATCACAAGATAGATCATAATGCATCCTACAAACCAGATATGATCAGTTCCTAGTTAAAGGTGGAAATCACAAGTTTAATTTATATAAAATAAAATTAAAAAATTAAAAATACAACTCATTCAGACGGAAATTTCAAGGAGTTGCTGGAGCATGCCTAGTGAAATTCAATGAAAAGCCGCTACTCAATGGCATTATGCAATAAACAGATAGCAAATCTTCATACTTCCATATTGAGACTACCCTGGGCCTTTAGCTTCTCTTTGGAAGTTATTGCTAGACCACACCTCATTAAGCAAGTCTTCTTCCACAATGATCTACAATACATGCTACTATGATCTCACATTTGCATACCATCGCAAGAAAAGAAGAACTTGATAGCAAAAACACATGGGTAAAGAGGACCTTGTATATAATGAGAGAGCAATCAAGCCATAAGATGTACTGAAAATGGTTTTATTCTGATTAACAACAACAAGATTGTGAACTTGCTGATGCTTTTTAGGAGATGAAGTTCAGGGGATGTTTCCCATTGAGAAGACAAAAAGGTCATGGAGGCCCCTTCGGCTCGCAGTGGCTCCCTGATTATTTATACTTGAAATAGCAGTTGAAAGTTTCATCATAATAATAATTAAGAATATTTAATAAGAAAAGTAACAACATTAAAACATAAAGAAGAAAAAAAGTACCCAATAGAACTTCCATATATCCAATGAAGTAAATGACTTGAAAGAGTTAAATGGAAGCTGTTTTAGAGATGAATTTAACCAATCACTTTGCATACTCTTGTTTTATGTGAACTACACATCAATTCTGCCATGAAAAGCAAGACAAAATGGCTCCAGTGAATTCAAGAAGGAAATAAGGAAAAGAATAACTAAGATTTCATCTACAAATAAAAAATCTAAAGAAAGGTAACACCCAAAGAGGAGACAATTCCACTAAATAATCATCCAAATAACTCCAAGCCAATCAAAGTAGCTAAACCAGATTCATTGCTTAAACCAAATAACAACCCAAGTCAATCCAATAAAATAGTAAAAACCACAACAAAAGAAACATAATAATACCCTAAAATGGATTTAAATTCATAACCCCAACTCTACCAAGCTTGTGATGCCAAGACATTTACCTGGTTGGCAAGATTTCCAGTTCCTGTTGGTATTCACAAGGCAATCGAAGAGAAAGCAGTGCCTTCTAACAATAGCAATTTCGATACCGCAATAATGCTCCAAGTTGCATCCTTAAGAAGGAATAGCTACTTGAGTAAGGAATAATGTGCATTCCTAAGAAGGAACAGCAACTAGTCATAAACAATCAATCCATTGATCTAAATTCTAAAGTTTCATTGATTACTATAGTGTCAATCACATTCGATCAATAATATCAACGTTCAGATACTGTTCTAGATTTGTAGCGCATTTGATCAGAGATCTTGCATGAATAAACGGTAAATGAAAAATAAAAAAAGCTTAAAGCAGATTTTTACAGAGGTACTGATGTTACATGAAAAATCAAAGCATCACAGAGAGAGCATTAAAATCAGAGCACCACAGAGAAACAAGAGCACATAAGAGAGAGAAACCAAATTTGATAAGAAACCAAAACAAGTGAAAAAGAAACCAAAAATCCATCATTTACCGATAATTTACGCAAAAATAAAAAATTGATCTAAAAAATCTTCTGAAACAACCCATCAATCTAAATCCCTTTAGGATTGATGAGAAAAATTAAAAGCAACAAAAGAAACATACCTGAAATAGCAACGGCTTAAAACAGTGAGGACATAATGATACGAGAGAGTTGATGAGGGCTACAACCCAACTTGGGAATAGAGGGATTCGCAGAGAGAGAGAGCGGGGTGTGAGCTCTATCTAGGAGAGAATACAGAGGTATGAGAGCCCTAGTGGGTAAAGAGAGAATGCAGGGGTGCGAGAGCCCTAGAAAGATTGAGGTGGTCGGGATGAGAGAGAACACAAGAGAGAGAGAGAGGCATGAGAGAGGACTTGGGAATTTCACGGGGGCAAATGTTTTCCACGAAACGTTTTTTTTTTTGGCATTTCACGGGGGCAAATTTTTTCCACGAAACTTTTTTTTTTTTTTTGTGAATAAAGGTCGGAAGACGAATAGTAAAAAGGCAGTTTTTTTTTTTTTTTTTTAATATCAAACACAAAAACAAACATGGAGAGTAAGAGGTAACTTTCAACTTCTAGAAACTAGCTTTCTGATATCAAACACGCCAGATGCAAACTACCTCAATGAAACAATTTATCTTTCTACAAAAAGTTCCAATCAATTCTATCCGCCAGATGTG